CTGCACAAGTGACCCCAAATGAAAATATCTTCCAAAAGATATTTTTTTAGAAACCCTTAAACCAAAATATCTTTAAAAGATATTTATGAAAAACACCCCAAGAAATAAAAATGTTTGTGAAGAATCTCTTCATCCACGCCCCTGCGGGAAAAAGAAACAACCGGTGAGCTTTTCTCCAAAAGTAAAGTTACGTCTTTTAAGGAAACCAACAAGAATGGAAGTACGTAAAGTCAAAAATCAACTCTGAGCACGAAGAGTGAGGTTACGTGAAGGAAAATTTCAACGAAAAAAATTAACCAGTAAAAATGGAGAAAAGTGAAGGGAGGAAAATGACCGGGTCATTACAAACAGTTTATGGACACATTGTATGATTTAGTATCACTAGATTACTTTTCTAAAAGACATGATTTTTTTTCTTCATAATCTTATTCAACGGTAATTAACTTCCAGAAGACAACTTCTTTTAGAATTAAAAAAGAAAAAAGGAGTGACAGTTTAAACACTTTTATAAAAGACACAACTTTTAGTAACGAATGTACACTAGCTATATTGGTCATAGATAGAAACAACAACCTTATAGAATTTTAATTTGAGATAATTTTTTTAGTATTTTATACAATATTAATTAACCTCTAAACACAATTTTTTTTTTTATTCAAAAAAAAAAATTGTGTTCAATTAATTCAAAGGAAAAAGGAGTTCCAATTTAAACATCATAAAAGAGACACTTCCTAGTGTTTTCAATCACATGGCTCTGCGTGCCTTTCCATTACACAGGTCAGAAGTTTCTTTACTCTTCTCTTATTGATTTTATATATTTTACTAGCATATTACTTTATATATTATTTTATTTATACTATATATATTGTGGTATGATTACACTATGATATGAATGTTTTAGTCAAAGTGAATTTTCATAAGATTATCTGAATGGACTTAAATATGAGATTGTATAAAAATATCCAAAATCCTCAACAATCTAAAGCCTTTGCAGCCTTCCTACGTGCAGGTTATGACGACTATGAAAGGCTCCAAGATACAACTCCAATGTCCTCCATAAGCACGTTCACAAGGTGATGATCATCAAATCTTGTAGTGTCACGTTGCCCATAAAACCAGATATATAATTGAATATATATAATATAGTATTCGGTTGAAGAATGAAGGAATGAGTTTTAGGAAAAGAAGTAAGAACTCTTTATTTGTTGGAATACTCTTATTATTTATAGGCCACTACATGCCTATTCATAAAAGGACATGTCTTTTCTCAAAAGACTTTTCACCATTAACTTTTCATACCCATTCAAACATTAGGATTAAAGAAGTTTTAAAAACTTTATTGCAAAAAACCTAACACAACATATTAATTTAAGGCACCATATCAACTGGATATACAAAAATCCTACTTAAACTAAACGGCACCCATAATACTATCTCACACTAATTATATTAGAAGTATTTTGCACCAATAATAGTACCCAATATAAGTATTTTATAAGTATTTTCAGAAGTGGTAAATCAATATTTCTTATTGCTTATCCTTGTAAAACAAGAAGACTAAATTATAAAAGATGATAGAAAGTAGAAAAATATAAAAGGTCGAGAAAAATAGAACATGAAGATAATTCAATATAATCCCTTATGCTCAATATTAAGACTTTTTTCTTATTAATACTTATCTAAAGTAGAACAAAGAGTTGCCTAAACATCACTAATCTATATTTTACAACGTAAAAATAAGGGTCAAGTGTAGAAAACACCCATATAAGTATATTTACATTACGAAAACACTTCTAAAGTTTTAATTTGGTGCAAATAAGTCTCTCATGACATATTTAAGTTATAGTTTGACTAAATTACCCTTATATACAAATTTTACATATGATTTAAAAATACATCATTTTATGAAAGAACGAAAATAGTTATTTAGTACATGAGGGGTGTGATACGCATTGTAAGCATGTTATAAGGTTGTTTCTGTTGGAAAGATATATGCTTCATGTGACATTTAAAATATAACAAACCTTATATTAATATGTCATGAGATAATTAACAATATCTTAAGAAATCATTAATTAAATATACATGCAACTCTATATTTAATTAAATATGCAAAATAAAGTAATAAAATAATAATAATATACAAGGAATGAACCTGGACCAAGGCTAGTATTGGATACTATGTCCTTAAGACAGATTCACCCCGCTATGGTGCTAACGGACTCAGTGGCGTCTATCTCCTAGGATACAACGGTCTACATCCACCAGTAGCAGCACTACAAACTCGTGGATACGGCGAACCTCCTCCGTGTAATACTCTCTCTGACTCAAAAATGCATCTATACTATATAAATGCTGAATTTGGTGCAATCCGAACCAAATGGTTCGAACCAATCTTAATATGGCTCGATGAAATTGAATTAGGGTCTAAGTGGTTCGGACCACTTAACCTATGGTTTGAACCCACTTGGGTTGGGTTCAAGTCTAGAGAGGGAGATAGAAGAAATTGAAAAATGAATAATTTGCAAATGATCCAAAGGGGGGTATTTATAGGTAACAAGGTGCCTTTTCGGAATGGGTGCAACCCTTTGGAAAAAACTAAAAAGTAGTTTTTAATTAATGTGTCTTTTCGGATTGGGTTTGTCTCTCCATCATTGGACACAACCATTTATATGTGTCTTTTCACACTGGACACATCCATTCCAATTGGTTGCAATGGTTCACATGGTATCTATTCGATCACCAATAGACACATCCACTCCAATAGGTTGCAATGGTTCACATGGTGTCTGTTCACCGATAGACACATTTACTCCAATAGGTTGCAATGGTTCACATGAATAGTTATGTCTGTTAGTTTTGAGTTGCAACCCTTTAGAAACAGATGCAACTCTTTGAAAAATAGATGCAACAATTTAGAAATAGATGCAACCCTTTGGAAAAAAAACTAACTTTTAATTTAAATTCAAAAACTAACCACCCATTTAAATAAGCCCAATCCAAAATTAAAGGCCCAATCCAGGATTCCATTTAGTAAAAAGAATAATTGGACTTTATGATTAGGCCTAAGCCCAAGCCCAAGCCCAAGCCCAAATTTGGCTTATTTAAATTTCAGTTAGTTTCAATATTTTTTCCATGTGGGACAAACATTTCCCACATTTTGCATACCCATGTAGGCTTATCAAAACACCACACTTTGGAGCTAATTTCTCATTCACCCGGAAACGGATTTAAGAAAATAAATATACCACGTTCATCTCCTTGCGAAAAGAAACGTGCTCATCTAGAGATCCGTAAAAAATTATTAACGGAATCTATTTCAAACCTTATCCAAAGTTTATGTTTTTAATGCTCCCGTTTCCAACAGCTTCTGCACTTTATAAACTCTTGTTATTTTGAATTTTTTAATTTTAACGGCTAGATTTAATTGAAAACATATTTGTATCATGATTTAAATAGTATAATGACGGTAGGTGATTGAATACCTGTTTGTTTGTTTGTTTGTTTTTTAGCAATAAAGATTGAATACCTAATTTGTTGCTATGTAAACGATTATATATATATATATATATATATATATATATATATATATATTTGTGAAAATTTATTGCAAATTCAAAAGTTTTAAAAATTAAATGTATTTTATTTATATATAATGAATAAGTATATTTAATTTAATTTTTTAATTATATATTTAATGAAAACTGATAACTATATTAAAATTAATTTAATTGAGAATATTTTTTTTCTTTTTTGTAATTATAAAAGGAATTGAAGTTTTCATTCGATATGATATACAATATATTAATCTGACAATAAACTAAGAAAAAAAAAAAAAAAAAAAAAAAAGACAATTGTGATAACAAATTTTTTTTTAAGAGAGATAATGTGTTAGCGAAAATAAATAGAGAGAATTTTTTTTTTCTTTTTAAAAGGTGAGAAAAAATCCTTGAAATTGGGTTAAACATAGTTAATATGCACATAACACCTCTATACTATGAAATTATTAGTATACCCATCCCCTTGGGATATTTTCGGAAGAGTAAAAGTGTAAAATGTGTATTACAATATTACTTTATGTCAGATTTCTTATTGATTGGTGTTTCAATTTTAAAAGAATAGAGGTATTTTTAGCATACTTTTTCAAATAGGGAGTGAAAGTGTTATACAAAGTATACAATAATGGTGTTTTCTGCACTTGACCCTAAAAATAAACTGTGGAAGAGAATTTGTGAAAAAAAAAAAAAAAAAAAAAAAAAAAACTTAATTTGAGTAAAGTTATCTGCTGGCAAGTTTTGGCAGGCTTTTAGCGGCGGTAAAATTAGCCACAATTGGTTTTTTGTTCAATTTTTACCGGCAATTTTTTTTCACTTTTGACAGCTGTAAAATTGTAACAATATGTGAATGGGTTTGCTTTTAATTGGCAATTTCCATCTTGGAGTGGCAGAAAGAGCTGCCACATAATTGCAGTTGTCATTCTTGAAAAACAAACATAGTTGATAAGAATTAAATTACGTAGTTGTAGTGAAAAGGTATTATATTAATATGATTTTATGGCATATGATTTGGCCAAAATTTATTTCAAAGAATTAATATGTCAAGTGAGTTGGCCAATTGAATGTGGAAAAAAGTTGGACCTCACTCACGCATTTTATTTGACCAAAAACTTAAATTCAGTGAGAAAATACTCTAATTTTTAAATAAATATACATAGATGCTTATCATAAAAAATAAAAAAAATTATATATGACCACATATGTGATTTTTTATTTTTCCTTTTTTACCAAGGAATTAAATTCGGAGATTAAAACGCTCTAATTTTTTTCCTTTTTTCCAAAGAATTAAATTCGGAGATTAAAATGTTCTAAATTTTAGTCAAGGATAATCACTTATTAAATTGCATAATGTGCTCATATTCCATCATCGTGTTATATATATAAAGATTGCAAAGCATCAAAATTTCAAAGTCCCTTTCTTTTATCTCCGAAGAACTCATGAAGATGGGTTTGTTCAGCAAATGTCCATTGTTGCTTGCTTTGTTCATTGTCCTATGGAATGGGCTTGTCTTCTCTGCTCCCCTTGATGCAACCACAGATAATATATTCAACCCCTTGACTAAAGTTATCATTTACAACAACCTCGAAAATGGGTTAAATGTAAACGTTCATTGTAAATCGAAGGACGATGATCTTGGTATTCAAGTGTTGTCTGTTGGAAGCTCCTTTCAATGGAAGTTTCATGATAATTTTTGGAGAACTACACTTTTCTTTTGTGGTTTTACATGGGGAGATGTGAATGGAATTTTTGACATCTATGTTGCAAACAGAGATTTATGCGTTTACTGTGTTTGGAGAGTGAAAATGGATGGAATGCATGGATATGACGATCACGGTTCTCAGAGACATTTTTTTGCATGGAGTGGAACACCACCAATACCAAAGAAAGACGGTGAGAAAAAGAATTGAAACATGTATTGCTACTAATAAATTACAATAATAGTTTCCATTCATCTACAAAAATCTTGTAGTTTTAGTTTCCATCTATGTTTGTTTTGAGGAAAAATATTTTTTTTGAAAAATATTTTATTTTTTTAGGTAAAATATTTTTTGATATTTTACTTATTCAGTATTCAATAGAGGTCTAAGTCGAGGTTAAGGTCGAATCCATCAGATGGGACATGTAAAATAACTTGTTTAAAAATTGATTGGTAACTTATATTTGTTAAATTTTAATTTTTTTTTCTTCAAAAATATTTTACTGACAACCAAACACTAGAAAAAAAATATATATATTTTCTAAAAAATATTTTATACCCAAACAAATGGAGCCAGTGTTTAGAATTAAAACATTAGAGTGTTCAACAAATGTTCAATATTGCTTCAAGATAATTCAATATAATTCCTTATGTTCAATATTAAGACTTTTTTCTCCGTAAAATATTAATATTGATACTTATCTAAAGTAGAATAAAGAGTTGCCTAAGCATCACTAATCTATATTTTATAGGGTAAAAAAAAGGGTCAAGTGCAAAAAACACCATATGGTATGCTTACAGTACATATCACACCCTTATGCACAAAAAACAACCCTAAAGTTTTAATTTGGTGCAAATAGGTCCCTCCTAACACATTTAAGTTATAGTTTGACTAAATTACCCTTATATACAAATTTTACATATTATTTAAAAATGCATCATTTTATGAAATTACGAATATAGTCATTTAGTACATGAGGGGTGTAATACGCACTGTAAGCATATTAAAAAGATGTTTCTGCACTTTATAAACTTTGTTTTGAATTTTTTAATCTTAACAGTTCGATTTAATTGAGAACATAGTTTTATAGCGATTTAAATAGTATAATGACATTAAGTAATTGAATACCCATATATATATATATATATATATATATATATATATATATATATATATATATATATAATCCTTTACATAGCAACAAATTGGATAATCCTTTATATATATATATATATATATATATATATATATATATATATATATTTGTTAAAATTTATTGCAAATTCAAAAATTTTAAAAATTAAATGTATATTATTTATATATAATGAATAAGTATATTTAATTTCATTTTTTTAATTATATATTTAATGAAAACTGATAACTATATTAAAGTTTAATTGAGAATATTTTTTTCCTTTTTTATAATTATAAAAGGAATTGAAGTTTTCCTTCGATATGATATACAGTATATTAATCTGACAATTGTGATAACAATTTCTATTTTTTAAGAGAGATAATGTGTTAGCGAAAATAAATAGAGAGAATTTTTTTTTCTTTCTAAACGGTGAGAAATTTTTTGAAATTGGATTATATATAGTTAATGTGCACATAACACCCTTATACTTAGCATAATCCACTCTTTGAGGTATTTTCGAAAAAATAAAAAAGTAAAACGGGTATAATATGTGAATGGGTTAGCTTTTAATTGGCAATTTCCATCTTGGAGTTGCAGAAAGAGCTGCCACATAATGTTCAAGTGTCAATGTGCAGTTGTCATTCTTGAAAAACAAACATAATTGATGAAGAATTAAATTTACGTATTTGTAGTGAAAAGGTATTAGATAAAGATGATTTTCTGGCATGTGATTTGGACAAAATTTATTACAAAGAAAAGGATAAAATACTAAATTACTTCATTACTATGTCAAGTGAGTTGACCAATTGAATTTAGAAAAGAGTTGGACCTCACTCACGCATTTTATTTGATCAAAAACTTAAATTCAGTGCGAAAAATCCTCTAATTTTTAAATAAATATTATCTTATGCTTTAAATATTCTATGCTAGATGCTTATCATATAAAAAAAATTCGTATATGACCACATATGTGATTTTTTATATTTCCTTTTTTACCAAAGAATTAAATCCGGAGATTAAAAAGCTCTATTTTTTTTTTTTCCTTTTTTCCAAAGAAATAAATTCAGAGATTTAAATGTTCTAAATTTTAGTCAAGGATAATCACGTATTAAATTGCATAACGTGCTCATATTCCATCATTGTGTTATATACATAAAGATTGCAAAGCATCAAAATTTCAAAGTCCCTTTCTTTTCTCTCCAAAGAACTCATGAAGATGGGTTTGTTCAGCAAATGTCCATTGTTGCTTGCTTTGTTCATTGTCCTATGGAATGGGCTGGTCTTCTCTGCTTCCCTTGATGCAACCACAGATAATATATTCAACCCCATGACTAAAGTTATCATTTACAACAACCTTGAAAGTGGGGTAAATGTATACCTTCATTGTAAATCGAAGGACGATGATCTTGGTATTCAAGCGTTGTCTATTGGAAGTTCCTTTAAATGGAAGTTCCATGATAATTTTTTGAGAACTACACTTTTCTTTTGTGGTTTTACGTGGGAAAATGTGAATGGAACTTTTGATATATATGTTGCAAAGAGAGATTCATGCGTGACGTGTGTTTGGAGAGTGAGAAGAGATGGAGTGCATGGATATGACGACGATGGTTCTGAGAAACATTTTTTTGCATGGAGATTACCAAAGAAAGATGGTGAGAAAAAGAATTGAAACACGTTCCGTAATAAATTACAATAATAGTTTCCATTCATCTACAAAAATCTTGTAGTTTTAGTTTTTGTATTAGTTTAGAAATAAAACATTACAGTGTTTTTATATTGGAATGAGGAATTTATCAAAATTTTAATATTTCAAACAAATCTATATATATGTATGCATTTCTTAGTTTTCTTAAGATAATTTATGATTTGTTAATGAAGGTAAAGACATTCTTGAGATTTGGAGTATAAACTCAGTTTCTGTTAACTCTCCAAATAGGCCAAGATAATTGTGATGTTAAGCTAAATTTTTTTTCACCAAATTATATGCTAAACAAATAGCCGTATAAAGAGAGAAAAACACTTATAAAAGATGATAGAATGCAAAAGAAATTAAAAAGTGAAGAAAAATGGAACATGCAAATAATTCAATTTAATCCGTTAAATATTAGTACTTTTTTCCCGGTAAACTGTTCAATATTGATACTTATTTAAAGTAGAACAATGGCCTAAGCATCACTAACCTATATTCTATAGGGTAAAAATAAACTGAAAAGCAAGGCAATGGAAGAATATAAAAAAATGTGTTTGACAGAAAATGTTAGATGGAAAGGAAAGGAAAAAGAATTATTTGGAGGGATGAAATAAGGCGTGAATAATAGTTTTTGTTATTCTGCCTAAAGTGGGAGGGAGGAAAGGGAAGGAAAGTCTAATAATTTTAATAAAACTTTGTTAATATCAAATTTACCTTATTTTTATAAAATAAAAAGCTATATGAAAAGTAGTAAGCCTGAAAATTCATTAAAATAATTTTCTTTCTCCAAACATGATTACTATCATTTTCTTTCTTTTCCTCTCCATTAATCAATCAAGATAAATAATTTTCTTTCATTTATTTCTTTTTTTTTCCTTTATTAATCAATCAAACATATGGTAAGCAATTAATACAATCCTCATAACTAATTTTCTTTTCTTTTCCATTGTAGCCAAAAGGCATTAGATAATGATTATTTTATGGCATGTGATTCGGACAAAATTTATTTCAAGGAAAATGATAAAGTGCTTAATTACAATTCCATTACTTTATGTCAAGTGATTTGGCTAATTTTATTCGAAAATTAAGTGATTTGTGTAATTGAATGTAGAAAAGATTGGACCTCACTTGCATTCTATTTGACCAAAAACTAAAATTGCGGAAAGAAAAATATTCTAATTTTTATATAAGTAAAATCTCATGATTTAAATATTCTATACATAGATAATATTAAAAAAAAAAAAAAAAAAAAAATCATATATGACCACACACGATATTTTTTTTTCCTTTCTTATCAAAGAATTAAATTTGGAGGTTAACATGCTCTAAATTTTAGTCAAGGATACTTCCTTATTAAATTGCGAAACATGCTCATGTTCCGTTATTGTGTTATATATATATATATATATATATATATATAAAAAGATTGCAAACACTAGTTGCATATCATCAAAATTTCAAAGTCCCTTTCTTTCCTCTCCAAAGAAATCATGAAGATGGGTTTGTTCAACAAATGTCCATTGTTGCTTGCTTTGTTCATTGTCCTATAAAATGGGCTTGTTTTTTCTACTTCCCTTGATGCAAACATAGATAATATATTAAACCCCCTGACTAGAGTTTTCATTTACGACCCTTCATTGTAAATCAATGGACGATGATCTTGATATTCAAGTCTTGTCTTTTGAAAGTTCCTTTCATTAGAAATTCCATGATAATTTTTTGGGGAACTACACTTTTCTTTTGTTGTTTTGCATGGGAAAATGTAAATGAAACTATTGACATCCATGTTGAAGATAGGGATTTGAGCACAAGGTGTGTTCGGAGAGTGAAGACCACACTAATTCTTCTCCAATGAATACTGTCCGATTAAACAAAAGTGGCGGAATATGGGAATTTCTAATTGCACCATTATTTATTTATTGTTTTGTTGTAAATGAGAAATGGGATGGAGCACAAGGTGTACTGAGAGACTTTTCTTTGGGTGGAGTGGAAAACTTAAGCATGCACCTCTAGTGCTCTAACCTCTTGTAATCAGTGATATGGTGTAATAACTGGAGTGTTTTTATATTGCAGGGCAAATGGAAGTTTTAAAAATTTTTAGAGTAATTTTAAAATAAAGATCTTAATACATGTATAGAGATAAGTTTTATGCATGAAGAACATGATAATCCATTCAATTTAGAGATAGAAAACTTACATTTTGAGTAAACCTTAAATCTTTCATCTAGAGTGAATGTTCTCACTTATTGTAGATCCCTTTGTTAGATTTCTTTTCCTTGAATCTCCATCTTGCTAATAATGATAATTGCCTTTAGGAATCATCTATAAGCCTCCATGAATGACTTTGAAAAGCTTAACTTAAGGGAGCCTCCATAAGATGAGAACACTAATCATAAAATCTTAAAAAAAGGAAAACTATAAGTGATCCCTGTTAGATTTCTTTTCATTGAATCTCCATCTTGCTAATAATGATAATTGCCTTTAGGAATTATCTATAAGCCTCCATGAATGACTTTGAAAAGCTTAACTTAGGGGAGCCTCCATAAGATGAGAACACTAATCATTAAATCTTAAAAAGAGGAAAACTTTTTTTGTCTTCTAAAAATTATTGCGTAAAGGCGTAACCTAAAATATATATATGGACCCATCTATATATAGAGGCAAAATAAAAATAATAATTTAAGACAATATATTTTTCTCAATGTCTAAAGTTAATGTGATATCTCTAATCTAATGGGCCTCCAATATCAAGTTGGGTTATGAATGAGAATCTTTGCTTATTACTTTCTTGGCTATAATGAATTAATAATTGGCACGATCCATTATATCGTGGATCCAATTCAATTAATTTATAAATTAATTTCTACTCCACTAAAAGAAATTAATTGAACTTCAACTAAATAATAAATAATCTCTAAGTCAATGTTGCATTTTGACATTTCTATGCGTAATTAGTTATCGGATAAATAAAGTCATCAATCCGATTACTAAATTAATATATTTCTTTTGTTACCTTTGATTATTTTCGACTTGATTACAATAAAATATTTGTTTGACAAAAATAATAATTTAAATAAATATATATATAAAAAATTATTTTGTCTAAAAACACACGAAGGCCTTCGAATTTAGTTTATGATCAATCATAATCAATGCAAAATAAATATAAGTAACAATGATACAAATATTGAAACTATAACCCTCTAACTATTAATTACATAATTGCCCAAAGTGCAGTCAATGGATTCCGAAGAATCAGTCGAATAAATCAAAGTAATTACTAATTAATAAAAGAGTTTATATTTCTCTCATGCTTAAGAGTCAAATGCTGGTGTAGCCTAGGTCGGGTGCCCCAAATTGCACAATAAAGTATGATAAAATATGGCCAAGTTTGAATTTATAAAATGTCACTACTACTACTAACTATTAATATAGCTAGAATGAGTAGGGATCGTCCCAAGGGAAAGGAAACGTGTTTTGGAATCAATTTGTTGGATTAGTAGGTCGAATGATCAAAAGATGGTTTGTTGGTTGAATTATACTACAATTTAAATTAAATAAATGCAATGTAAAACAACTAAAACAAATGAGGTGTAGAGAATATGAGAGAGGAGTCTTGGGTCATAGAGTTCACAATTAAGCATTACCTTCCTAGACATTCAATGTTTGATGGATTAGGGGGATTGTGTGTTGTAAATGAAAATGTGTACTATTAATTAAAATATTAACATTGATGGCCAAGTAAACATACATTGTCTAGTCAGTCTAGTGAATAGCACAACATATCAAATTAGGTCATTTATCCTTCCATAAGTCCACAATCAATGCACACTCAACAAATTAGAGAAATATACTACTTGCATTCATAAGTATGGAACATCAAACAACAAGAATAGATTGTCCACCTATCTAAGATAGTAAGGCAATTACACTACAACTAAATTAGTGACATGAAAAGTAAACTAATTAAACTAAAGAGGTGGCACAATCCATCAAGAAATAAGTATGAATCATCAAATAAACTACAAGTGTAATCCATTTAATCACCATGCCTTGACCATCACTAGATTCATAGTATCAACACACATAGATATGCATCAATGTCACAAAATTTAGAGATAAACATATGAACATTCATTCTATCATACATAGACATATGGATAGAATTAAATGATCAATTGGAAGTATTAAACTACACAAATCATTATAGAAACAAGATTTATATATATAAGATGTCAAGATAAGAAATACAACACAAATCCCCATTAATTACAAAACATCAAAGTCTAGGAGGTATGCTTAGGGCTACCTCTAGCCCCAAGAAGATGGTTTAGCCACTCATTGATGTTATCATCCAACCCTCAAGGGCCACTCATTGATGTTGTCATCCAACCCTTAAGGGCTATCTCCATGGTAGAATTCATCCTCCTCTTCTTGTGTTCTTAGTAGAAGCCCTAGATGAGTGGAAGAACCTTCCCAAATTGTATGATTTTCTCTCTCTAACTTCTAGCTAAGCCCCTCTAACTAACTAACCTCTCTACTAAAAATAGCCAAAATCTTTATATAAACAGCTCAAATGTCACACCCAATGGTTAGACCTTATGCCAAGGACCTCTAAATGATTGCATCATGAGCACACATTTAATTTGGTTTGAAATTAGCTTTCACGTAATTTGAGGCAGTTTGATCAATCACATAGTTGCTCGGATCAATCGAATCATGGCGGCGCACTTTTTGGATAAGGATAAGGCTGAGATACTTTTGGGAAAAGAACAAAAGTGGTAGGTGAGGATAAGATCAAAAGGGTTCGATCGATCGAATGATAGGTTGGATCGATCGAACAGGAAATTTTCCTGAGGATAAGGACAAGGGGTTCGATCCATCATAGCAGGGTTGGAACAATCACAGTGTAATCGATTGTAGCTTGGTTCTGATCGATCGGAGAGAACTTTTTCACCACTTTGTTTCTATTTTGCTCA